TTTTACGTAATCTCATAGTTCTTGGAGGTTGTGTTCATTTATTTTCATTTTTTTCCCTAATATTGTCTGCCTGTCTTATTTCAGCAGGATAGTCTTCAAGCTTGAAATTCTTCCCTTTGCTTGTGTTTGCATGGTTTAATTCTTGTGTTGTGTTTTTCAGCTCCATCAGGCCATCAGTTCCTCTTCAAACTGGCTATTCTGGTTAACAGCTCCTATACCATTTTATCATGGTTCTTAACTTATTTGCATTGGGTTAGACCAGGCTCCTTTGGCTCAGCAAAGTTTGTGAAGCCTATTTCTTTCAATTCATTCATCTCAGCCTCTGTCCGGTTCTGTGCCCTTGCTGGAAAGGTGTTATAATCATTTGGAGGAGAAGAGGCATTCTGGTTTTCGGGGTTCTTTGCATTATTTTGTTGATTCTTTCTCATCTTCATGAGTTTATCTAGCTTCAATCTTTCAGGCTGCTAACCTTTGGATGGGGTTTCTGTGGGGACTCTTCTGTTGATGCTGTTGTTTTTGTTGTGCTTTCTGATTGTTTGCTTTTCTTTTAACTGTCAGGCCCCTCTTCTGTAAGACTGCTGCTGTTGACCAGGGTTCTATTCCAGACACTTTTTGCCTGAGTGCCTCCGGCACATGAAGTTTTCACTCATGCAGGCTGCAGAACAGCAAAGATGGCTGCCTGCTCCTTCCTCTGGGATCTCTGTCCACAAGGACATATAAGGTGCATTGTCAGGGGGTCTCACCCAGTCAATGGGTACAGGATTCAAGACTCTTAATGAAGAACTCTGGTGGCCCCTTGGTGAAAGGATTATGCTGTGCTAGTGGAATCCCACTCATCTGGGCTGCCCAGATTCCTTAGAGCCAGCGGGGGGAAAGACTACGTCTGCTGATCTGTAGAGACCATGGCCACCCCTCCCCAAAGGGGCTCATTCCCAGAGAGATCCAAGTTCTGTCCCTAAACCCCTGGCTGGAGTTGCAGAAATTCCTGCAGGGAGGCCCTATCCAGTGAGGAGGGATGGGATAGGTTCTGGCCTAAAAAGGCTGTATGGCCATAATCTGCCACAGTTGTTGTGTTGTGCTTGTGGGGAATTCTTCCTGGGTCCAAACCGACCAGTCCCCCTGGCACCAGCAGGGAAAGAATGGCAGACTGGAGCTGCAGTGATGGCTGCTGCCTTTATCCCAGAAGCTCAGTCATCCTGGGCAGCAGGCAGCCATAGTGATGGCAGGCACCCCTAATCCCCCTCCCCAGAGACTCGGTAGTCTTAGGCAGCATCCAGCCGTGTGGCCACTGGGAATCTGTGCAGCTTTGTGCTTGGGACCCAAGGCCCTGGTGGTGTGGACTCATAAGGGGTATCTCCTAATCCACAGGTTGTACAGATCTATGGAGAAAGCATGGTCTTCCAGGCAGGGTAGCACAATCACTCACTGCCTCCCTTTGCTGGGGGTGGAGCTCCCCTTTCCCTGTGTGGATCTCAGGTGGAGATCCACCCTGCTTTTTTTTGCACCACCCTGCTTTTTGTTGCTCTCCATGAGTCACGCCCACTGCCTAGCCAGTCCTAATGAGAGAACCTGGATACCTCAGTTGCCAGTGCAGGATTCAGTGGCCATTTTGATTCTTCTCTGTGGGAGCCTCCCTACGCAGCTGTTCCTAGTCAGCCATCTTTCTAGTCAGCATTCTTTTCTTAAAGTTGCAATAGGGCTTTGCACAGTTCCTTAGGTTTTCCTATTCCTATCTTTGGACAGATAGAACCCACCATGTTGGTATCTCATCATTATATCATGTTTCTAAAATCAATACTGGCTACTGGCATTTATTCCAACTGGCCTCTTTTACTGACAGTTTCATAGCCTGGGAAAGGAGCTGGAGCATAAGAAATGTACTGTTTTCTCATATTTATAGCTCACACAAAGTCCCAGTAGATTCTAAGTCACTGGGAAATCATCATGGTATCTCTGTGCATTGTCATATTTTTCTAATCTTTGGGTAGAATTTATTCAAACTGATGCACTGGTATCCAAAGATGATGAATAAAAATGCAAACAAAATGGGTATACATAACTAATTTACCCAATTTTTAATACTAGAAGCCTGGTGCATATCACTCCAAATTTCATCCAACTGCTTTTATCTCAAATTTAAAATGATTCACAAATATTCGTATAATTAGAAAGTCCAATTATTTCAGTTAGCTCTGTGCTTAGCAGAAGGTGTCTAAGACCTAACAAAAATCTATTTGTGCATGTTAAAAGATTCTGCATTTTCCCATTTTCCGTGATCTTGTATGTATTTTAAATATTAAAGGATTAAGAAGCTTTAAAAAAAAAAAAGATTGTCCAGGATTGACCTGCACAGATAAATTAAAGTGTTAATCTGAGAGCAGAAGGTTTGAATTAGAAATGAGATAATTAAAAGTGAAGATATAATGGGACAAATAAGTAGATAAGGATGAAATATTTAGGTCTACCAAAGAACAGAGACTTAACAGGTTCGCCATGCAATCTCATTGATCAACTTAGTGCCTACAAATTGCATAGTTTTAGTGGAAACAGTAGGAAGTCTATCAGTAATGTGGTGTAAAATAAGAAAGCCAACTAGCACTTTACTTGATACAATATAATTGGGCCAATGACCAATGAACCATGACAGTAGAAACCACATTTTTAAATTAATTAATGAATGAATTGCATGCCCTTTAAATGACCCTGGTGTCTTTGATATTACTTTCATGGCTCTTTACATTCTAGCTCTTCATCAGTTTTCACACAGTTTTCATAATGAGTACTAGTCTGCATTGCTTCATTTGCACCCAGAGGAGGCAATCCCTGCAGCAAAGCAATATGGGATGCATTTCCTATTCTCCGATGTGACTTCTTTTGCATGAGGTCCTAGGAGCAAACTGGGGACTGTAATTTCTTTAAAATGAATGCAATAATATTTCAATATCTAATACTTTGAAATGCTGAGTGTGTAATTATTCCATCTAATAGGAATAGGACATTTTGGTGTTATAGAATTAATATAATTCACATTGAAAAGTATACCAAGTTATTAAAAATTGTTACCACTATCCTACTATAATTTTGACTTCCCTTTTTTATTCCGAGCTACTTAGAGAGGGACCTTAGTAGTGAGTTGTTGTCTTTGTCATCAAGTTATTTATTTTTTTAGTAATATTTTATTCTCCAAAAGTTTGATAAACAAGCAGTTTTCCAAAAATACTTCAATGTTCCTCAAGAGTTTTGAATACTCCTTGGCTATACTAAGAACACTGTGACTCTATACAAAAAAGATTTCACATAATTTGGATGGATGTTTTATCATTCTGTTTTCAGCGACCTGAATCGGGTTACTGAAATGTTGATCCAAAAATAACCATTAAAAAAACTCTACATCATCTGGTTAATTCAACAGTGGCGAAAAGACACTGGCTCCATTCAGGGATCTGGCCTATTGTGTCCTACCCCAGGTGACTCGTCTTATAAAGACAAAGCCCAGAAGGCATGTTCTGCCTGTTCCCCTATACCTGACAGTGAAACTGAAAGAATGAGAAAATATCTGTGAAGTGTTTTGAGATCTCCAGGTGAAAATAAATCTATAAGTGAAAAGCATCATTGTTATTATAAATGGAAATATCACAGATGCCTGGGAGGTAATTCTAGAGTCCTGATCATTTTCCAAAACATTGCAGTGCCCTTTTCCTCCCACTACCCATGATCAAAACAAAGATAAAACTCTCTCCTTTTATCCACCAAAGTGGCTGTAGGGAAAACTTAAACATTTGTGCTTTGGATATTGTATTATTTTGGAAGTCAATAGATGACCCTAACCGGCTGTATATAAATGAACATTTTACTTTGACAGGTCGTTCAATATGTTCCATGCTGTCCAGCCAAATGAAATGAGAGGGCAGGCAATTTCTGTCAGCAGGAATATATAATTACAACGTATTTACCATGCATATACCTTGGAGCTTTATTAAATTCCTATGCAATTAAAAGGCAGTGTGTTCTTCACTCAAGCTGCTACTGTTCCCAGTATGTCTGGAAGGTTCCCATAAATGTTAAATGAACACTGATATTTTATACAGTCATTCAGAGCACAGATGACTAGTCTAAAAGTAAGTAAAGACAAGTTGCTTTTATTAACCATTCGTGGACTTCAGTTAATTCCCATTTTCATTCTGTTTCATTATTTTAGGCAAAAGAAGATAATGTTCTTTCTGGTGACCAAATGCTCAGTTGGATAACACGGTAAATAGTTTATTAGACTGATAATATTCATCTTACCTTCTTACTTTTTTTTTTCTATCTAGTAGAAAAAATAAATTACCTCTTGGGAAACTTGTTCCTGAAAATGTCAGGCTTATAGTCTGCACTGGGTTCTGTTCCACCTCACAGATCCTAACTCCATGATAAAGGCAGAATGGCAACTGGTTAGACTTATTATGGATTTATGTATAGAGATATTAAGGAAAGAAATAGCAGATGGTGGCAAAAGAGCATTCAGTAATAAAATCTAGCAATAATTTTCTACTCCCCTTCCATGTTTGGTTACTACATACCCTGGAGCAGAGATTATGAAGATCTTGTTGACTGTGTTTCAAGGATATGACTAAGAACAATGTCTTTCAACTGGAAAAACTTCAAGTCCAAATGTTAAGTGACCATAGAAAATATTAGAGGAAACTAATGGCTGCAGCAGAAATCTGCAATTCAAATAGCATTCAGTTTTTTTCTCCTGTGTAGCAAACTGCTTTCATTCACCAAAAAAAAAGCAAAGCAAAACAACTCTATAGATGCTCTGAGCATATACCACACAAAGTAATGTTGAGGTAGTGATAATTTTTACACCACTATGATTTTTCATCAAAGCTTATTAAAAATGTCACATATAGATAATGCTACGGTGCTCCAAGTCAGCTAAATAAATGGTGAGGTCAGCCATCGAAAAGACACATAAAGATGAATGTAAAAATAGATAAAGTCATTGGAGATCCCACCTTAGAGTTCCATGGAAGAGAACCACCTGGAATTGTGTCCGAGCTGGAATTTATTTTTCAGGAGTCTCCCAGGATTTATCCTGTAATATAAATAGATTTGTCAGGTACAAAGAAAATTTGACAGAGAGGAAAATAAGTTCTAGATAGAATACAAATTAAAAAAAAAAAAAGATCATTTGTCTACATCACTCTAAAAGAAGTTTGAAAAGTAAAACTAAAGGTAACTGGGTATTCCAGAACATATCTTGGAATGAACACAAAATTGTCTGATGATTTCTGTGAATCAACAGGTTGCTTTGTGATTACACAGACTGAGCCAGAGAAGATTATATGCGAAAGGCACACTTCACTTTCCTCAAAACAGACATAAAGTTTTGCACAGTACTTGTGCATATCCATGCAAAGGCACACAACTTTTTTTTTTTACTGGAATATAACTTGTATTTGGAATAATGACTGACAGGTTTGTAGAAATAGTGAATAATTACCTTTTTATTTTCTTCCTGATTGGGTTCCAATAAAGATACAGCAAATAAAACACTAATGAGTGTTTCATACACCTTCTTTTAGATTTTTACCTATGTTGGTATATATTTTTCCCATTATTTCTTTTTCTTTTTCTTCCTTCTGACTATTTTTTACTTATTGTCTCAGAGTAGGGATAGAAAATAGAAAATGTACAGAGCCCCCTGGCTTTGGTTTCTAAAAGTCTATAAACCCTTGCAAAAACAAAGCCTTCAGACCCTCAGTGAAATGATGGGGAGAAACATTGAGTAAAAAGGACCTTGCTGTTTTAGATGAAAAACAAATTGCCACTTATTAGCATAATGTTATGAATAAAGAGTTCAAACACAGTGTTCTGCAGAAAGTGAGGATGATTAACATTCCTGGGCTCTATGCTGGCGATCAGAAGAGTTACCTTAGCTCTGAATCAACTTGATGTATATTTCTCTTTCCCACATAAAAGCAAAGTGAATTATATCCTCCTTATTGATGGGGTTTGAAAAGACCATACTGTCAGATAAACAATTGCATACCAAATTGTTGATGTATTCCATGAATAAATCATCTCTATCAGAAAAGTTAAATCGTCTGTATATCAGTTAATTAAGTTTATATGGTAATTACTAGTCATCCAAAACAATCCTCTAATTTTTCTAAGGGTTACACATTCTTTAAATTTTTGAAAATCGTGTTCATCTATAATATGTAATGGATTATGGGGTACCATAATGTTTCAGATTTCTCTGTCAGAATGAGGATTGTTTTAGAGGCTTGCATTTGGTCCTACCTGCCATAATATTAATATAGGGATCATGAAACCAATGTGAGAATCCTGGCAGCTGCTAAGGAAATCAATTCCAATGATGCCTCTATTCGTAGTGCACAAAATATTTAAAAAGCATTAGAAGACATTGGAGAAGAATCAAAGCAGGAAGAAATCTGAGGAATAGGATTCTTGGAAAAAGAGATACATGAGGTAAACTTCATATTTACGTGACTTTCTGTTTAAGGACATTTCCTAGTTTACCCCCAAACAATATGTTTCAGTCTCAGCGGACAGAGAAGGAAAAGTCATCTTTCATGGACTCTAGATTTTCTACATTTCTGACAATCAATCAAAAATTCTGATGTATGATTACCTTTTTCAAAAATGATTAGTTGTTTTTAAACTAAGAAAAGCCATAAAAGTAACTCAGTAACAAGTTATTTAGAGTTGAAGCAGAATTTTAGCAATTAAAATGTATTAAAATAGAGGAAAAGATTATCAAGATTGAAGATAACACAAAATAAAAAAATCTGTTTTAGAACCTAAAACATACATACAGAATCAAAGCCCCATTGAATGGATATTTTTTAAAAATCTGGGCACAGTAGAAAACAGGATTCGTGAATTCAGTGACAGGTCAATAGATACACATCTAAAATGAAGCACAGAGAAAAATAAAATGGAAAGAATAGAACAGAGTGTAAAAGGTATGTGATAAGTAGTCTTAAGATGTATAGTTGGCATTCCATAAAGGGAAGATAGAGGGAATGAGGAAGAAGCAACATTTGAAGAGATAATGACTGAAAATACACTAACATTGATAAAAGATCTTAACCCACACATTGCAGAAGATCAGTGAAACCAAAACAGGAGAAATACAAAGAAAAATCCCACTTAGACACATCATAGCCAAATTGCTAAACATCAAAGTTAAAGAATACCTTAAAGGAGTTAGAGAAAATAGACATATTATCTTCACAGAAACAACAGTAAAACTGGTGTCTCACTTCTGAACAGAAACAATGGAATCTGCAAACAATAAAATGACATTTTTTAAAGCAGTGAACCAAAAAAGAGCCTCAATGTTAGACTCCTTATCTAGTGAAAATACTCTTCAATGGTGAAGTCAAAATGAAGACTTTTTCAGACAAACAAAATCTGAGAAAATTTATCATCAGAAGATCCATGCTGTATAAAATAAGTGAAATTCTAAACAGAGGTTATCAGGCTGAAAGAAAAGAATTTCAGATAAAAATAATATAACATAGGAACAGAAAACCAAACAGTGCATGTTCTCACTCATAAGTGAGAGTTTAACAGTGAGAACACATGGTCACAGGGAGGGGAACATCACACACCTGGGCTTGTTGTGGGGTGGGGGGATAGGGGAGGAATGGCATTAGGAGAAATACCTAATGTAGATGACAGGTTGATGGATGCAGCAAACCACCGTGGCATGTGTATATTTATGTAACAAACCTGCACATTCTGCACACGTATCCTAGAAATTAAAGTATAATATAATAATAAAATTAAATTTTAAATTTTAAATAAAAGCCAAGCTTTGAAAATAACAAAGAAAAAAAGAAAGAGGAAAAACATTCTTACCATGGCACAGGTATACCTATGTAACAAACCTGAATGTTCTATACAGCATGTATCCCAGATCTTAAAGTAAAATTTAAAAAAAGATGTGAGTAAATATGAAAGAACACTAACTGTATAAAACAATAATAATAGCTATGTCTTGTGTAACACATATAGAAGAAAACTTAGGACAGGTACAGTTAAATTTTTTAAGTTTCTTGCATTGTTCTGGAAGTGGTAAATATATTAATAAAAAGTAGGCAATAATAAGACAAATATATGCAGGTATCTACTAAAAGAACAATACAAAAATTTTACTAAAAGTTCTGTTAAATACTTATTCAATTATAATTTTGTAGTCAAGTAGAGGAGAAAAAAACCATAGGGGGTAGCTGAGGGACCTCTGCACACACTGTTAGATGGAAGTCCACCATGACTGTTTACCACCTGTCATTTTATAAGCTCCCACCAAACCAGAGCTCCATGATGGTATTTTGAGTCCCCTCGCATCAATGTCAGCTCAAACTCTGTGTCTGTCACCTCTCATAAGTTCTCTGATTAATGGCTGCAAGTCTACTTGCAGAAGGATTGGCAAGTTTGTTACTGTATTGACTTTCAATGGCATTTCATTGTCTCTGCTAGCCAAGTAGAAATTGGCCTCCCATCCAAATGACAGGATCTGTATCTGAAAACTGGGGATGGAAATACTTTTCTATTAAGACTGCTGACATCAGCCTTCTCACAAGCTCTGTCATTTTTCTGTTTTTACAAATCAAGCCATACCCTCATCAACTGCTTCTCTGTCTTACCCAAGAATCCCATGTTTTGTCAGCCATTAACGCAAACCTCTGCCTGAAAAGGCACCCTGGTTGTTGCTTTAGTCTTGCTGTTATTAGAAGAAAACTCCACTTTGCCTCTTATGGTTAAGTTTTATCACATAGTCTCTGTTATTTCCATTGACACTAGGAAACTGAGTTCCAAGGCAACTCTCTTACCACCAACCCTTCAGCATAAAGGACAGTCACCCTAAACCAAACAAGGTTTCTGGCAACCTAGAGAATTCCCAGGAAATTATTGAGGGATTTCTACTTTACTCACAAATCTGAGGGTCCCATATAAAGGTCCAGACTTTATCCTTGGCTGCCTGTAGAGGTTTTACATTATTTACTTGGCTATTCCACTAGCAATTAAACTCTGAGCCCAATTTTCAGCACAGCACTGACTTCCTTGAAAGGCCTCTAACAATGCCAAGAAGATCTTCAGGCTTTTATGTCATGATCTGCTACTTGAGAGACCTTGTCATTCTCCTTCTTCAAGTCTCTTAAGAACTTAGGCCGGGAATGGTGCCCCAGAACTTAAAGTATAATAAATACATTTTTTAAAAAATCATATGTACCATATTGTTGAGGCAATATCCAGGTCAATGTGAAAGTAAAACGGCATAACTTATTAAAAAGTGGAAACGTTTTATGTCTATTTGCTGGTTTGAAGCATTTTTATTTCCTCTTTTTCTTTTTCTAAATAGGTGCCAAGATGTATTGCATCCAAGCTGAGAACTTAAGGAAAGTACTTGTGATGACATCATAGTTATATGTGTTTCTTCAATTATTAGTTTACTCAATCACCAGTTCTCAGATGACATTATTGAAATGCTAAACAATGGTGGTACTTGGTAGCATATTTACTCGAGGAAATAAAATCTGACTGGTTGGAAATTTTTATGCATGTCATTCCTGTTTGAATTTGACATTAGGTCTGTTTGTTACACACGAAGATATCTGAGTCCTGTCTGAGATAAATGACACTTCTTTGAAGATGCAAAGAATATGTGGACCTTAAGCTGGCTTTACAATAATCCTTTCTTGTTCTAACATATTGCAAGCCAAATTTAGCCTGACATTTTATCAGATTGTTTAATTTCGGGAATATGCATCCAGTCATTCTGATGGCTCTGTCTTTAAGATTCTCCATGATTTTTTTTATTATATTGACAGAACAAAGATCCAACCCTTATTTTCAGTAAAAACAAAGTAATTGCTGATTAGAAATGAGGGAAGAAACATTCAAACCTCATGATGATAGATGATATTACCAACCTTGAGCTTCACCTCTTAAGTTCCTTAACAATGGATGGATTGAGACATTCTTTAATTTCAGTTCTCTTTTCTAGTTTGAGTAATTGTTACAATAAGATTGCCTAGCATATTTGTCTACATTAACAAC